GCATACAGGTTGACTAAGTATGGTGAAAGAATACAACCCTGTCGCACACCTTTCTTAATTTTAAACCATTCAGTGTTCCCATGTTCTGTTCAAACAATTGCCTCTTGGCCCAGGTTCCTCATGAGCACAATTAAGTGCTATGGAATACTCATACTTTGCAATGTTGTCCATACTTGTCATGATCCACACAATCGAAAGCCTTTACATAGTCAATAAAGCACAGGTAAACATCTTGCAGCCAAGATCCATCGGACATCAGCAATGATATCCCTCATTCCACAACCTCTTCTGAATCCAGCTTGAACCTCTGGGAGTTCTCTGTTAATGTATGCTTGCAGCTGATTCTGTATTACCCTTAGTAAAACTTTAGTTGCATGGAATATCATAGATATTGTCCGATGATTTTCATATTCTGTTGGGTCACCTCTCTTTGGAATGAGCACAAATATGGAACTCTTCCAATCAGTTGGCCAGATAGTTGTCTTCCAAATTTCTTGGCAGAGAGGAGCGAGTGCCTCCTGTGCCACCTCACTTTCTTGAAAGATTTCAGTTTTCATTCCGTCAATTCCTGGTGCCTTGTTTTTTGCCAATTCCTTCAATGCACCTTGGAATTTCTGCTTCAGGATCATTGACTCTTGATCATATGCTACCGCTTGAAACGGTTGAACATCAACCATTTCCTTTTGGTATAGTGACTCTGTGTATTCCTTCCATCTTCTCTTGATGCTTTCTGCATCATTCAATAATGTGCCCAGAGAATCTTTCAATAATGAAAGTCAAGGCTTGAATTTTTTCTTCAGTTCCCCCAGCTCGAGAAATGCTGAGCGTGTTCTTTCCTTTTTGGTTTTCTGTTGCAGACCGCAGGTACGGGGGTGTGGAGGACCGGTGTCATGGACAAAAATCCAGCACGTGGCCGCACTCAGACTTGCTGGCCAGAGACCCTGAGGGCTCAAGGAAGTAACCTCCGGACGTCCCAGGTTCATTGGCTTTTACAAACTCACTGTTGGGGTAGCTCTGTATAATTCTCTTTAGTCTTATTAATTTGTGCTATGCTTCAAACTCCTGTAACTGTAGCCTCTGACAAAATGGTTTCTTATGTGCCTCTCTCAATGCCTCCACTGTATCGGCAGTGCTTAAGGTGTTCTGGGAACAAATCTCTCTGAGGAACAAACTCTGGCCACTGGGCAAGCTCGTCCAACCTGTTCTTTATCAAATTATTCAGTTATGTTTGATATTAACTTAATACATGAGCCCTTGATACCCATGGACAAATATTAAAACAAAAAACTGTTCCTAAAGCCAAGGCTGTAAAAATTTCCAAAAGCAAGTTTCCCCCAAAGAATTAACTCAGTAGATTGGCGTATTCCGGGCCTTTGTCTAAAGAATAATAGGTGGCTGCCTTCCCAGTTCGACCCCAGGTGCAAACCATTCAGCTAGGCATCTTGCTTCCTCCTGCAGGCCTTGGCCAGACAGCTGACACAGCGGGACTCCTTTCAATCCTTTTCACCTTTTTCCCATTCGAGATTAGGTGCTATAGGTATGTTAATTAGCCTGGAGAAACCGAGTTGCTGCCCTGGGATTCGAACCTGAAAAGTACTACATAAATTTGCTTGAATTTCTGGAAAATTAAGGATGTTAGATTATCAAGACAATTTGCGATGTATGTTTTAGAATTTGATTCCTGTAAATCATTGTGTCCTGTTTTGAACGATTAATCACATTTCACTTCTGTACCCCGTCTTAATAAACCCCACCTTCCTTTGTGTAAAGCTCCTCCCCGAAATAAAACAGGGGCACAGACCGAAGCCCGCATGCATTACGGCTGGCATGCGAGGCATTACAGCTGGCAAGGCATGCATTAAGGTTTGCAGGGCGGTGCTTTACTGCCTGCAGGGGTCACGATGCTCGTAGTCCTGGGTCTGCCCGCCAGTGTCACATCCACTCTGGTTTCGGGGTGTTTTGTGTTCTCTCTCTTTGCATCTTTGTATGTATTTTTTCTCTATCTCTGTCGCCGCCAGATCTCCCTCCTTCGTGAAGCAAACTCTTGTGTCGAGGCCGGTTCTCGACAGTTTTCTGACTCCAGATCTTTGCACATTTTGTTGTAATATTTGCCTTTATCTTCTTGATCTGACCTTTGAAATTTTCTGTTCAGCTCTTGTACCTCCTCATTTCTTCCATTTGCTTCAGCATCTCTACACTGGAGAACAAGTTTCAGTGTCTCTTCTGATATCCATTTTGACCTTTTCTTTCTTGTCTTCTTAATGACTTTTGCTTTCTTCACGTATAATGTTCTTGATGTCATCCCACAACTCTTCTGGTCTTTGGTCTTTAGTATTTAATGTATCAAATCTGTTTTTCAGATGATCTCTAAATTCAGGTGGAATATATTCAAGGTCATATTTTGGCTCTTGTGGACTTATTTTCATTTTCTTCAGCTTCAATTTGAATTTGCATATGAGTAATTGATGACTGTTCCAAGATTCATAAGACAGTCAAGCATCTTAGTATTATTTCCCCTCTTCAGACTATGCCTCAATCCCTGTATCACAGAGCCCTGTTATTCCAAGGTTGAGCATGCATCACTATTTTCACAAAAGTACAAATATTGCATAAGACCATTATTGTAAAATCTTAAGAAAAGACACCCATACTAAAAGGGGAAAAAAAAAGAAAAAGTTCTTTGTTGGTTACCTGTGGAGGTGAGGTGAGAGGGTTTGGAGAAGGTGCAGGGAGGCAATGATAGAGCACAGGGTAGGGGGCAGATAAACCATAGTTCATGGTGTTGGGAGGGCAATATACAAGAAGGGGTACGGGATGGAAAAACAAGGTAGATAGGGGAACACTGAGACAGGTTTGCATGGGCTAAATGGGACAGAGGTAAGTAGTGCTGCATGCTCATGTCACACATACATTTTTATTCCTTAACATGCAGAGGAAGTCTTTCTACTGGGGGCACTGGGTCCTCCTTTGAGATTTATGTGAGAAGCATTTTGAGAAAGTAAGTTTAAAAAGCAGAAATTTTTGTTTTCCTTTGCATTTCAACTTCTCTATTTCCTCCTGTGATCTTTCAGAGCCCCGCCTGCCACAGTAGTTTCACTTTTGAGTTTAACCCCGCCTACATTAACTTCACCCATGCTCCGAAAGTATCAAGTGTAGAAGGGACTAACAGTGAACATGTAACTCTCTGCTCTGTGGTGGAAAATTGGGAAAAGGTTCAAGCCAAGGGTTTCTTGGTGGAAGGAGCAGAGTACTTAAGCTTCCTGGTAAGAGAGCTCTCTAACTCTGAAAATTGTCTGAACTTTGCTTTAATTTCATTCGTGTTGCTTTCTCTTTCACCAGACTCCATGCCACAGCTCAGAAGATCCAGGATGTCAGGTGACTAAAGGCCAGAACAATAGCCTGGGGATTCAGGAAGAGGGGAGCTAACCTGCCAAGGAATAGAAGTCTCCAGATGACATTCAGTGTGGCTCCAACAAACAGGTCCTGATTATCAGTGGGAAACACTTATCCGGTAAATCTTAGTCCTGACTTTCATTCTAGACACTGTCAGTTCAAATTTTCTCCCTCCTTCCAGCTCCCAGGAAGTTGCTCCTTTACTGTCTCTGCTTGCTGGGCCTTTACTGGTGGACTATTAGGGTGTCCAGTACCAGGGATCCCAGACACCAGATCGCCCCTAGCTGACTTTCCTCCCACCTCTCCACACCCTGCCTATCAGGCCTGCCCAGGAGTTCTGCAAACTCCCTGTGTCTCAGTCACCCTGGATTTCTGGATGGCAGTCCTGGCCTGGAGAAGAGACAGTCAAGGCTCAAATTCTCCTGGAGCTCTGCTCCCCAGGACCTTCCTCTTTTTAGCTGTCTTTTTAGTCTTCTATCCCAAAGGAGTGCTGGTAGTGTAGTGGTTACAAGTCGGGCTGCTAACCTCAAAGTTAGCAGTTTGAAACTACCAGCGGTTCTGCAGGAGAAAGATGAGGCTTTCTGCTCCAGTAAATATTTATAGCCTCGGAAACCCTGTACAGGGTCACTATGAGCCGGAACCGACTCCATGGCACATAACCACCGCCACCATCCCAAAGTACCAGGAAAGAAGGTGGCACAGTGTTTAAGTGCTCAGCTGCTAACTGAAAACTTGGTAGTTTGAACTTAGCAGCTGCTCTGGGGAGAAAGATGTGGCTGTCTCCTCCTATAAAGATTTCTAGTCTCGGAAACCCTGCGGAGCATTTCTTTTCTGCCCTATAAGGGTCAGAATTAACTTGAAGAACAATGAGTTTGGGTTTTTGTTTTATTTTTGGAAAAGTAGCAGGAAGGAAGTAGAACAAAAAGCACACATTTGGTTCTTCTGGTTGCCTTGATTATTTTCATATTCCACTGGTTCGATCACCACTGAGAATTTATTAATCTAGTGGAATCTTTTCCTTCTTGAAGTAGGGGGCAAGGTAGAGCGATCTGAGATTGGAGGAGTCATACTTGATTGCCTCAAGGGAAACTTCTCAGACCAACCAGTTAAAGAAAGAAAATTCCAGTAATAATTACTCTTGATCATTAGAATATGAACGTTTCACACTTTCTCGCTGAATTCTCTTTCTTGTGGCAACTTCTATGAGGGAGCCTACCATACTCCTCTCTCTCCCTCACCTCTTGATCTCAGAGAAGTTTCTGCAATGACGGAACACTCTAGATCTGAACTGTCATGTAGCCACCAGCCCCGTATGTCTATTGAGCAATTAAAATGTGGCAACTGTGGCTGTGACACTGAATTTTAATTTTATTCAATTTTTGTGAATTTGAATAGTCACATGTGATAAGACAACCAGGTATTTATGCATTGTCTAGGTTCCCATCCATTTCTTCTCTCTAGAAAGAAGACTTTAGGACCCTTGGAGCCCAGTGGCAGCCGATTCATCACACTGGGTCTCAGGTGAGGAGCACTTTCATCACTGTGGAAAATTCTGGCTGTTTCATCTCTGCTTCTAGATCCACGGTTGAAGCTTTTAAATAAAGGCCATGGCCTCAACTGCACCTGCCAGAAAGATGAAGGAAGAAGCCACCTGTGCCATCTGCTTAAACCTGATGGCTGACCCAGTAAGCATCAGCTGTGGACACAGCTATTGCCATGCATGCATAATGGACTTCCTTCAGAACAAAAGCTACATGCTACCAAATCAAGAGCAGTACTGTCCCCAGTGTCGGGCCCCATTTCAATATGGGAGCCTCCGACCCAACAAACAGCTAGGAAGCCTCATTCAAGCCATTAAGGAGATGACCTGTGATGTCATGTGCGAAGAACATGGAGAGAAACTCCACCTGTTCTGTGAAGACGAAGGCCAGCTCATCTGCTGGCGTTGTGAGCGGGCACCACAGCACAAAGGACACAACACGGCTCTTGTCGAAGATGTGTGCCAGGGGTACAAGGTGAGTCATAGGGTGGGAAGGTGGTGGCGGGCAATGAGACTCATCAAGGTCCTGGTCTCAGGCTGCTTCTCCATTACCTGAGATGGTTTAGTCTGAAACCCAAGGTAATGATCCTGAAAATGTCACTGTGTCATTCTTCTGAACAATAGTTTTGATGGATCTTGACTGAATCAAGCCCAGAGTGTTCATCCTGACTTTCAATAGGATGGTCAGGCACTTGCCTCTATCCAGAATGGATATGCTGAACTGCTTCCTGTCCTAGAATACATTGTGTTCAAACCCTATCTGCATGCTTCATTGTTTCATACTTGGTATATAATTTTAAAAAAACAAAATGAGATTCATGTGGTAGGGTCTCAAAATACATTCTAGGAGAGAAGATTTTATATATATATGTAAATAGATTGTCATGATTTCAACTCATGGCGACCCCAAGTCTTACAGAGTGGAACTTCTTTGTAGGGTTTTCTTAGCTGTAACCATTATGGAAGCAGATTGCATGTTTTTCTTCCTCAGTGCTGCTGGGGAGGTTTGAACCACCAACCATTAGTAAGGGAAGAAAAGCCAGCAAAAAAAGACTGCCTATAACCTTCAGCTTTGATTGACAGAGGAGGGACTAGAGGGTAGGGAGTGGTATCAGGACAGTCTTCCTGGAAGAAGTGACTCTTAAAACACCCAAAAGTTAGCCACATATTGTTGTTGTTGTTAAGTGCCATCAAATCGGTTCTGACTCATCACAACTCTGTACAGGGTTTCAGAGGAGTGGCTGGTGAACTTGAACTGTCATCTTTGCAGTTCAAATTGACCTTGTAGTCCAGCACATTAACCCACAGTGCAATACCAGGGCTCCAACCACATATAGAGAGATGGAGTAAAGAGGAGGCATTTCAGGCAGAGGAGACTCACATGTGCAAATGGGCAGCCAGGAGAACTTTCCTGACTTTTGGTGACTAGGACAGGGGCTGTGTGCAGGGGAAAGATAAATGGGGCCCGGAAACTTGTTATCAGCTTGGCATCTCTTTTCTAGCCCAGTGTGGTACAGGCTACCAGATGTACATTTGGGAAATGATAGGTCATATTGACTGAAAAAAAGTCACTCTGAGGTGTCCCTGGTTGGCGCAAACAGTTAGGCACTCAATTACCAGTGGAAGAGTTAGCAGCTGAAACCCAACCGTAAATGTCTCTTGAAAACCCAATGGAGCACACTCCGCACACAAGGGATCTCCATGAGTCAGAACTGACTCTGTGACAACTAGATTGTGACCTTGAGAGTGATGAAAGACCAAAACGAAAAAGATCACTCTGGCATGGATAAAACATAAAGACTAGCGAGGAGTAAAATTTAAATTATTCCAATTAGAAAAGGAATAGGGGCAGGTTTCAAGAGAGATTTAGGAAGAAAGTCACATGACTTGGAAATGACTGGTTGTGGATAATGAAGGGGAGAGAGAGAGATTGGGTAACTCCTGGATTTCTCATGGAAGGCTGCCTTTGGCTGTGGCAAAATGAAGGAGCAGTGAGAATCGTCCCATTGCCTCGTTCTTTCTCTGCTTCGTCTAGATATTGTTCTCAGGGTAGGGGTTCTTGTTCCCTGCTCTGTAGGTTAGGAGGTGGTCTTATATTAAAGCTCCTGACCTTTCAAAAGCACATGCCAGTACTGACGTTGACCCACGCTTGGCACATAGTGTCTTTTCTTAAGCTTCATGGAGCAGCTTGTATCTGTAATGTGAATATGCACAGTTTACTTCCCCCACCACATCTTGGTGTGGTGCTATAAGATAAGCAGTGGTTCAAACTCACTAGTTGCTTCTCAAATACCCTGTGAGTTGGAACTGACTCAACAGCACTTAACAACAACAACAGCAGCACATACTAAGAAAATGTGTAGAGTAGTGATAATAAGCACAGACTCAGGAGCCTCAGGAGCCAGATTGGTCAGGTTGAAATTCCACATCTGCCACTTACTAGATAGGTAACTTTGGGTAAGTTATTTAATACTTTCTTTTCAGTACAATTGTTGTTGTTGTGAAGTGCCATCGAGTCGGTTCCGACCCATAGCGACCCTGTACAGGGTTTCCAAGGGTGTAAATCTTTACAGGAGTAGAAAGCCTCATCTTTCTCCCACGGAGCGGCTGGTAGTTTCGAACTGCTGACCTTAAGGTTCGCAGCCCGATTCGTAACCACTACGCTACCAGAGCTCCTTAATAGTAATATGTAATATCTCCATGCCTTGATTTCCTCACCTGTCAAACGAGGGCTGTTCTGAGCTTTAAGGACGTTGTTGTTGTTAAGGGCCATCAAGTCGTTTCCGACTCATAGCAACACTGATAGGGTTTCTGAGGAGCAGCTGGGGAGCCTGAACCCATCGACCTTGTGGTTAAGAAACCAACCTTGCAGTCCAGCACATTAACTTGTAGTGCCACACATTGGTATATGAAAAACTTAGAATCACATTTGTCATATAACAGGGGCAATACAGCCTTTTGCTAGTTACATAGGACCCTTCTTTGAGAATGCTGGAAATTTTTTAAAGTATATTTGTTGGGCTTACAGAAGGACAGGAGACAAATATTTTAGTGTTGGTCAAAATGCCTCTTATAAACCTTTTCTATATGTCCCCTTAAGTCTGTCCTACTCACAAACCAATATTCTCCATTTCCTCAACTCAGAGAATGCCCCCGACCATTGTGCTTTGGCTTTATAAATTTTTTAACCTTTTTATTGTGACTTGAGTGAAGGTTTACAGACAAGATCTTCAGTTTTACATTTAACAAGTCATACACTTATTCTCACTTATCTTGAAGGGCTGGGATTCCCATTGGAATGCAGCATATGCAAATTAAACTGACTTTACACATCCATTTGTTTTCTTCAGGAAAAGCTCCAGGAAGCTCTGACAAATTTGAGTCTACTCAATGATGAATATATAGAGTTAAAGGCATCGACAACAAAGCAAATAAGCCAATGGAGGGTAAGAATCTGAGTTTACTGATACGAAGCTATTTTCTATCTTAGAGCTCATGGTCAGGGAGGGGATGATGAGGCAAAGACAATGTGATGGTTTATTCTTACTAAACCAAACTGTTATTTATTTTTATATAATTTTTATGTCCATATCCACGAGAATTTACCTCCCGTCCTTTTAATTCTTTAGTAGACTAGAATTATTGATACCTGTCAGCAGTAGTAGAATTTGTGTCTATTTATCTAGAACTATCTTTGATTGGGATGTGGTGGCTTCATGGAATAAACACTAGACTGCTAATGACAGACAGGTTGGTGGTTCAAGCCCACCAGTCATTCCACAGGAGAAAGATGAGGCTTTCTGCTCCCCAAAAGGTTTTTAAAGCCTCAGAAACCCTATACAGGATCTCTGTGTTTAGAACCAACTTGACAACAACTTAACAACAGCAAGTATTCATTAGACTTACGTTTTAAATATCTCAAAGTATCTTATTGGTTTGAAGGTCTCAAACTTATTAGCTTGGCCCAGTTACCACAGTGCAGAATCTCTAAGTTTTATTGCTTTAAACAACCATATGGAAAGTAAAAACCTGAGTTTGTGAGTATTCTAAAAACAGATTCACTCTATGGTGAGATTCGTATTTGTCAAGGAGGCTGATGTAGGAAACACATTTGATATATAAATGAAAACCATAACTGCTGCAACAGCCTACTTACTTGTAACCGCAAGACCATGGGGTCTCTGAGGATATTCCCATGATCAACCAGATTCTCCATTCTCACAAACACATTCCTTTATGTGATCCATCAATTTTCAGTCAAATACCAGAGTCTTGTTTTGTTTCTTTCAAGAGCCTTTCAATCGTAGCCTTGATCCTGTGTATGACAAAGTTAAAGTTTAGTTTTCAATGGAAACCCTTACTTCCCTCATTTCCATGATTTTGGGGAATGGAAGTGGGGAAGGGAGAAGGAGGAAAGAGAGGAAGACTTGACTGTAACCAAAATATATGGAAACCTCATCAATGCAAGAGTTAAGGCTGTACCTGTCTTGTACAAAAATCTCAACTTCATTCTAAACCAATGACTCTTCTACCACATCACAAGTCATTGAAATGCTACATGAATTGAAGAAACACTGATGGGAAATATAATTCTGTGTCCCACCTCAAATGAAAGTTGAGCTCTATAAGACATACCATTTGGTTTCTGCCAGTCTTACACATTATTGTTGTTGTTAAGGGTCGCAGAGTTGGTACCAACTCATAGCAACCCTCTATAGGGTTTCTAAGTGTGTTTGAAGCTCCGGCCTTGTGGCTAGCAGCCCAGTGCTTATTCTACAGAGCCACACCAAGACTTCAGTCTGACTCATGGGGATGATTAAATTGTCCATTTGCCCCTGGATTGATGGCTAAAGATTTCTCAATAAACACATAATAAAAACATGCCAATCCTGGCCCTCCTTCTGCTGAGAATTAGAGATTCTTTTACCAGTCTGGTTGTCTTAAAATCTAGTCTTGTTGACTAAACTTTTGAGTCAAGAATGTCCCTCATACTCAGAGGTACTTTCTTATATTCCAAATAAAAATTGGTTTTTATCCACAGAACTGATAAAGTATCTGAGCTTGGTCCTATTTCAGGCTCCCGCCCTTCCCCTGGAGTTCTCATATGGCACTGTGGGTTAATGAGATGGACTGCAAAGTCAGTTTGAACTACAAGGTTGGTGGCTCAAGATCACCAGCTGCTCCTCGGAAACTCTACAAGGGCTTGCTATGGGTCAGAACTGACTTGATGGCATTTACCAACAACAACAACACCCTTCCCTTACATCTTGACTAAAGAAGAAGAAAATAAATAATATGACTATGGAGAATCAGGGACAACCTCTGAGTGCTTGTCTCCCAGACAGGACTTTGTAGCAGAGAACCTGGAACGTTCTTCTAGCTCAAGTGACTCATGAAAAACATAATGTTTTTCTTGTCTCTAGGAGAAGATAGATATTCAGAGGAAAAAAATACAGTCTGACTTTAAGAATCTCCAAAGCTTCTTGCATGAGGAGGAAAAGTGTTGTCTGTGGAGGCTGGAGAGAGAAGAAGAAGAGACTCTAAGAAGACTAAAGTACAATGAGGAAAATCTAGAGCAGAAGAGCCATGAAATGATGAACTATGTCTTGAGTCTAGAGGTGAAATGTCAGGGTTCACCTCAGGAATTGCTTCAGGTGAGACTGTGGGCTTGGGAGAGGAAAAGAAAGTGTCTGTATTGAGCTATTAAGAAGAGAATGGTATGGAAGCATGGGTAGATTGGCCAGGCCTACCTCTCTTTATTCAAAAGTAACACTTTAGCAGGGGAAACCAAAGGGAAGGTTTCTTTTAAACGTACATCAGTATCTTTAGGATGGACTTCTGGTGTGGTGCTGTAGGATCAGCACTGGACTGCGAACCACAAGGTTGTCAGTTCAAACCCACCAGTTGCTCATCGGAAACCCTATACAGGGTTGTTATGAGTCAAACTGACTTGACAACACTTAACACCATCAACAATCTTCAGGATGGCCTTCACTGGTCCATAGAGGAGCTTCATGATAATTAGAAAAATACCATCCATCTGGATGGATATAGCTTGGTGAGCCAAATGGAATCATGGAACAACTTCCACCACCAGTTTGCCTTTGCACACAGAATCCTGACACTCAAACTGAGTGTGGTAGGAAAGTGGGACCTCATTAAAGCAACATGAAGGATCTAAGCCATTGAGATTAATCCCTTGGGTTGTGATATCTGGTTACTACTAGAGTTGAGAGTGTAGCATGACTTTATCACAACCATGCGACATCTGCTGCCATTGCCTTAGCAATCCAGTCAAGGGCTATGCATGTATTCACCACTAAGAACCTTTGTCATAAAAGTTCTCCAATATGGGCTCACTCAGCAGGAAATTAGATCACTAAAAGCAAATCTTGTTAAAGGGAGCAGCATGGTCCTGTCCCCTTCTCCAAGCAGTCCACAGATTGATGTGATTAAAAATATTATTGGCATTGGAAAGGAAAATAAGAGAATCACACATTGATAAACATCCTGCCATGTTGAATCTTCAAGGGGGCTGAGGTGAGAATAGTATTTCTAGGCATTGATTCATCAATATATAAGGTTGGGGTGGTTCTTTTTCACTCTTTGGAAGGAGGATTTATAGGGAACAGCCCCACATGCCAAACCCCATTAAATAGTTCTCACACTCACCTTCTGTCTTTATTCCTCTGTAGGATGTGAAGGACACTTTGAACAGGTAAGCCCTGCATGAATGCAGGAGAGGAAGTTTGGGGTATAAAGAGCTGAATGGGATGTACTACTAAAGAAGTCTTTTGGACCTCTGCTTTTTTTAGGAGTTCAGCTGTGAAACTAGAAACCCCAGAAGTTGTCTCTTTGGAGCTTAACACTGTGTTCAATGTTCCGGAGATTTACTTTGATTTCAAGAAAATGCTAAGACGCTATCAAGGTATGTGAACTCAAAAATTACTAAATGCTGTGTGGATGGGAGAGACCTTAAAGAGTAGCTAAGTTCATCACCTGTCCTTGAGAGGTTGTGTTGTTGTTTTCAGTGGAGTGGCCACAATCTGCCTTGTTTGCGTGCTTTAATGAACTCTCCCATAGGCAGCATACCAGTTATCTGGGCAGGCCCTTTAAATCCCTGCTCTTGTATTAGCAATGTGACCTCAGGCAAATTACTGCCTCGGTTTCCCACTCTGAAAAATTAAAAGATGAAATATCTGTACTTTATTGTATTGTCATGAAGATTAAATGCATCAACATGTGGAAATGCTAAGCACTATGCCTGATACATGATCAGGGTCACATCACTGTTGTTGTTATGTGCCATCAAGTTGGTTCTGACTCATAGTGACCCCATGTACAACAAAATGAAATACAACCTGGTCCTGTACCATCCTCACAATTGTTGTTACACTTCAGTCCACTGCTGCTGTCACTGTGCCAATCCATCTCATTGGAGGTCTTTTAACTTTTCACTGACCTCCCACTTTACCAAACATGAGGTCATCCTTCAGGGACTGGTCCCTCCTGATAACATGTCTGACATAAGAGAGCCGAAATCTCATCATCTTGGCTTCTAAGGAGCATTCTGGCTGTACTTCTTCCATAACAGATTTATTTGTTCTTCTGATAGTCCATAGTACTTTCAATATTCTTCTTCAACACCACAACTTAAATGTATCAATTCTTTTATGGTCTTCCTTATTCACTGTCCAACTTTCACATGCATATCATGACTTGGGTCAGGCACACCTCTAACTAAGTTTGTCTATCACTTTATTTCAGTTGCCTCTCAGCAATTCAAGAAAGGTGACTATTATGTACAGGCTGTGGTCCAAATGGTTTTAAGAACTAGGCCTAAACAACAGATACGGTAAAAGTTAGAATCATAACCAAAACCACATTTTAATAACTACAAAAAATGCCATGTCTGGCATCCGCAGTTCTCTGCGTCTGGTGCAGAGAGATTAAACCCAAGTAGGGGTGATGGGAGATTAGAAAGAAAAGGAAGACACAAGACACAAATGAATTAAGTAAAGTTGGGACCAGGTGGGACGTAGCACTCTGATGGAGAAATTGTGACCCAGACCAAATGCAGCAAGTTATTTTATACACATATCAAAAGGTGCTTGGGGCAGGGAAAAGAGTGTAAGAACATCTGGCGTTGTTTGTGCATGCAGTAAGTGGGACTTTATCAGAAGAATATAACTTGTGGTTGCTAGGGAAACAGAGATTAGAGCAGCTAGATGTTTGTGCAGACTGAGCTGAAGGTCATGGCTGTGTACAAGGAAAGACCTTGCAAGTTCCCTGTCCCCTGAGGTAGCCCTTCAAGTTCCTCAGGGGGCAGCTTGACCTGGGTGCAGCCGACTTTCTGGACCACAGCTGATTAGTTGCAATCCTTCGGTTACATTCCCCCAAGTTGGAGGACTTCGGCTCAGTTGCTCCCAACAAAAAACATTAGGCAAACCTGCTACACAAGACCTTTTAAAGTATTCCAGAGCAAAGATGTCAGTTTGAGGACTAAAGTGTGCCTGACCCAAGCTATAGTATTTTCAATAGATTCATATGCATGTGAAAATTGGAGGGTAAATAAGGAAGGCCATAAAAGAATTGATGCATTTGAGTTATGGTGCCATGAACTACCAGAATAACAAATATGTGTTGGAAGAAGCCAGGATGGCCACACTTCGTCTCTCATACTTCAGACATCTTTCAGGAGGAACCAATCCCTAGAGAAGGACTTCATGCTTGGTAAAGTGGAGGGACAGTGAAAAAGAAGGAGACCCCAAAGAGATGGATTGGCGCAATGACAGCAACAATGGATTCAAGTGTAGGAGCAATTATGAGGATGGTGCAGAACCAGGCTGTGCTTTGTTCTATTTTACATAGGGTCGCTATGGGTTGGAATGGACTCAACAACGACATAAGTTCCACGAATTCTTATTGACAATTACAAAATTTAAAAACCTCTAAAAACTAAAAATGTTTTCATAACTCATTTGGCTGCAAAATCTTACCTAACCTGAAAATAATGTAGTGGAAACCCTGCAGAAAACATGGTATGATCCTTTTGTTTGTAAGGTCACCATAAGCCAGGTCCAACTAGATGGCTGCTAACAGAAACTAAATTCCTAGACACATTATCTGCTTATTAAATTTTAGGCTTTATATTTTAGACTATTAGATTTGGCTTGCTTTCTGTTAAATCTTTTGTGTTTTCTCTTTGTTTTTCTGCCTGTTGTATCAATTGTATAAGGAAGACTATGAAAATACTCCATGATGATAGTGATGAATGTAAAATTGTCCATCATATTTTTATGCAAATAACGTGCATGTTATGTGTTTTTTAAAAACCACACAATCCCCTCCCTGCATTAGTGTCTTATACATGCTATGAGTGTTATATGAGGGGGCTTGAAAAATTTTCAAAAGTATAATATTTTTCTTTGTAATTCTGTAATTTTTAATTTGTATATGCAGAGGCTATATTTTTAGAGCGTGTATGTTTAGAATTGTGGTATCTTCCTAGTGAATTGCTCATTTTATCTTTATGAAGTGACCTTCTTCATTCTAATGAAATCTTTTGATATGCTGTTGTTGGTGGTGGTCAGTACTGACTCAAAGCAATCCCATGCACAACAGAATGAAACAGAACGAAACACTGCCCGATCCTGGGCTAACCTCGCAATTGTTGCCACTCTTGAGCCCATCGATGCTGACACTTTGCCAATCCATCTTGCTGGGGGGCTCTTCCTCTTTTTCTCTGACCCTCCACCTTACCAAACATGATATCCCTTTCCAGTGATTGTTCCTTGCTGACAATATGTCCAAAGTATGAGTGATGAAGTCTGGCCATCCTGGCCTCCAAAGGGCACTCTGGCTGTACTTTTTCCAACACAGATCAAAGTCAAATATTACAATGAAATGTGCAAAGATCTGGAGTTAGAAAACTAAAAGGGAAGAACACGTTCAGCATTTCTCAAGCTGGAGAAATTAAAGAAAAAATTCAAGCCTTGACTTTCATTATTGAAGGATTCTCTGGGCAAATTATTGAATGATGCACACACACACACACACACACACACACACACACATATATACACACATAAATCCTTTAATTTCCAACCTTTTTATATCTTTTTATTATGTGTCACTTATAAACAATGTTGGTGGCTATGTGTCATCAAGTTGATTCCTACTCATAGTAAACCCTGTATATGGTTTCTGAGGAACATCTAGTGAGTTTGATCTGCCAACCTTGCAGTTCAAATTGAGCCTTGCAGTCCAGTGCTTATGCTACAAATCCACACCAGGACTCCTCAGTGTTGGTAGTGAGAGAGAAAATAGTACTTCAGTATTCCATGATAACTGAAGATCCACAAGAGAGAGACAGGGCTTTGGAGAGGACAGTAGCTATATCAGCCCTAGTGAGTTCTCATCCCGAGCCTCTTTATGTGACTGAGGTAGTGATGATAATGAAATGATGACAATACTATTACTACCATTTGTTGGCCACTCCCACCACACAGCTGTCAGTTTCCTTACTGTGGTGGCTTGTGAGTTGCTGTGATTCTGGAAGCTATGCCATGGTATTTTAAATACGAACAGGGTCATCCACAGTAGACAGGTTTCAGTTGAGCTACCAGACAAAGACAGACTAGGAAGACGGAGAAATGGAGTACTTCCGAATATTTACTCACTGAAAACCTAATGAATAGCAGTGGAATTGACCACTCACCATGTGCCAAAGAGCTGCAGTGATTAAAACACTCAGCTGCTAACCAGAAGGTCAATGGTATGAATCCACCAGCCGCTCTGAGAGAGAAAGATATGACAAACTGCTTCTGTAAAGGTTTACACTCTTAGACACTCTATGGAGCAGTTCTGCTCTGTCCTATAGGGAGGGCTGTTATGATCAGAATAGACTTGATGGTTGTAGGGTTGGCTTGGTTTAGGGTACCATGTGCCAAGAGTTTTATAATGAGTCCTGGTGTGGCGCTGTGTGTTAATGTGCCAGACTGCAAAGCAGTTTGAACTGCAAGGTCGGCGGTTCAAGCTCACCAGCTGCTCCTTGGAAACCCTATACAGGATCCCTATGGGTTGGAATCAACTTGACGGCACTTAACAGCATCAAGTCTTGGTGTGGCACTATGGATTAATGAGCTGGACTGCAAGGTTGGTTTGAACCTCAAGGTCAGCAGTTCAAGCTCAACAGCTGATCCTCAGAAACCCTATATAGCTCCATTATAGGTTGGAACTGACTCAACAGCACTTAATACCAACAACACAATCAAAACTGAAATTCAGAGAGTTGAATGACTTGACTAAGCCCACATAGCTAGTAAGAAACTATGCTTGGCATTTGAACAAAGGCTGGTTTTATTAACAATGAACTTGTGCTCTCAACACCAAAAATATGTTGTCCTTCTTTGCAGTCAGTGTGACTCTGGATCCAGATACAGCCCATCCTGGACTAACTATCTCTGAGGATCAGAGACAAGTGGCTCTCAGAAACACCAAGGGGAATTTTGATGCTTCTCCTGGGAGATTTAGCGCCTCCCATTGTGTCCTGGGTTGTGAGGGCTTCACCTCAGGGAGACACTACTTTGAAGTTTATGTGGGAGAAGGAACTGCGTGGGATTTAGGAGTTTGTAGAGAAAATGTGCAGAGAGACAACAGAGTGAAGCAGAAGCCCAAATATGGTTTCTGGACCATAAGACTGTGTCAAAAGGAAGGCTATATGGCACTTTGCTCTCTTCCAACTTACCTTCAATTGAAGGAGAAGCCTTTGGTTGTAGGGATTTTTCTGGATTATGAGGCAGGGGTTGTATCCTTTTATAACATGACCACTGGTTCCCACATCTTCACCTTCCCGAAGGCCTCCTTCTCTGGTACTCTCCGGCCCTATTTCCATGTTTATAAATTCTCTCCTTTGTTCCTACTTTCCCAAGATGAAGAATGAAAACAGTAAAGTCTCCTCGTTTTAACCAGCACAAAGAATATAGTGTAAATCCCATGAGAACAGAGATTTGGTCTGTTTTCTGCATTGCTTTTCCCCCAGTGTACTTAATAAATAAGCTGCATTAAATGAATGCATGTAAAAATTGTAAATGATACCACAGATGTTCAGCCTGAACTGAGAGGATGCAAGATAACAGCAGTGGCAAAACATTGTCCTCTCCATGTCCCTTCAATGAGTTCAGAGGTTTGATTTTCAAGAGTCTTTGGGTAGGGAAAAGTCAATGACTTGTCCCAAGATCAAGAACCCTGGGTTCTCCCATTTCATCCTATGTATGATGCCATTTGAACTGGTATATAGGGGAGGAGGAAAAGCTGCAAGTCTTTGCCTGTTGCAAAAAGAGCAAGAAAATAAAAATAGTAGTTAATCTTCTAGCATACTGATTAATAATATGAGTTGTAGTCCTAGATGATGCTGTAAACTCAGAAGGCTTTGCCAAAGCAATAAACAAGTTTGCAAGAAAAGTTAAAACTAGCTGATAATGAGATGCTTCAAATGAAAAGGCGATTAAGAGTGGGAACAAATTCTAGGGGAAACTCACATCTTGAAAGAATTCTGATTGCTAAACTATGCTAAAGTCAGCTGTCTTGAAATATTTTTAAAGCTTAATAAATACTCATTGCTGACATGATTGTTGACAGTCTTTATTATTATTCAGATATGATTAAATATGACTTAACTCTCCAGAGGTTTGTTGTGAAAACTACATTCCATATGATACCAGAGTGGGCCAATGGCAAGACAAAAGTGAAGCCAGTCAGCATATAAACATTACTGATGACAAGAAAAAAGCTACTAAATTGCTAATTTATTATGATGGTGATGGTTATATGGTGTTGACTTATAGCAACTCTGTACGTCAGCAGTTCAAAACTACCAGCCATTCCATGGGAGAAAGATTAGTCAGCCTTCGGCTCCCATAAAGATTTACAGCCTCAGAAACTGGATACAGGGTCATTATGAGTTGTAACCAACTTCATGGCACACAACAACCACCACCACCATAGGGTTTAAATAAGCTGTAAATCTTTTCAGTGGGCTAGTGGGCTTGAATTCCTGACCTTGAGGTTCACAGTCCAGTGCTTACCCTACAGAGCAACTGAGCTATGTGTGTATGTATGTATCCTTGCAGTTCAAATTGATGTTGCAGCCCAGCATTTACCCTACAGGGCCACACTAGGACTCCATGTATATATGTATGCATCCCATTCAACATTTGCAGAATCCTCTGAAAAATTCTTTTGTCAGAGAGCAATAATTTAAGGGATGCTATTATTTGGTGTGGCTCTGTGGGTTAATGTGCCAGACTGCAAAGCTGTTTGAACTGCAAGGTTGGCAGTTCAAGCTCACCAGCTGCTCCTTGGAAACCCTATACAGGGTCACTATGGGTCAGAATCGACTCGACGGCACTTGACAACAACAACATTATTAAGGAGGTCAATGTCATTTTATGTCACGTCTGACAAACTGGCTATACTCTGCAACCTGCATGGAGAATTTAAATCCAAGTAATGGTGATGGGAGATTTAAAAAAAAGGAAGACACAAGACACAAAATGAAAATAGTAAAGTTGGGACCAGATGGGACACAGCACTCTGATGGAGATACTGTGACACCAACCAAAATTCAGCCCGTTTATTATATACACATATCAAAGGAGAGTGCTGGGGGTAGGGAAAAAAGTACAATAACATCTCATGCTTTTGATGCAAGAAGTAAGAGAAACTTTATGAGAAGAATGCAGTTGCTAGAGATAGGGCAGCTAGACGTTTTTTGCAGACTAAACTGAAGGTCATGACTGCAAACAAGGAAAGATTTTTCAAATTCCTTGTTCCCTGAGGCAGGCATTGCAAGTTCCTCAGGGGGCAGCCTGACCTGGGAACAGCCCAATTTTCTGGACCACAAGTGTTTAGTTGCAATCCTTTTGTCCTCACTTAAACTTCCCCCAAGTCTGAGACCTTCGGTTTAGCTGCTCCCAACAATTAAAAAATTTATGTGTATCCCCATATAATGGAAATGATAAACATGTGAAAATTTAAAAAACAATAATTGCATATTCCTTGCAATAAATCTCCTCAGGCAAGGGTAAATAAAGCAAAAGAACTGGACTTGGAAGTCAGAGGCATGATTGGGCATCCATTTCTGCCAAAGGAAGAAAGAGAAGAGGTCAGAAAGTTACCAATATTATTCCCCAGCCTACATCGTTCTCTGCCCCAACATACCCAGAACACTAACACAAGTGAAAGGGACCCAATGGATAACTTAGAAACACTATCTCTTTTTGTACAGTAAGCAAAGACAAATGTGAATATCACTAATCTCCGTGGGAATTCTATATCCCTGACTCTTTTACTTGACTGTGTGCCCTCAAGTAGGTTCTGACTCATAGTGTGACCCTTCTAAGGGTTTCTGAGGCTGTAAATAAGGAAGCAGAAAGTCTCTTCTTTCTTCCTTGGAGCGTCTGGTAGATTCGAACTAGTAACCAAGCAGCCCAACGCATAACCACTATGCTACCTGTTGTTGTTGTTAAGTGCTGTCAAGTCGGTCCTGACTCATAGCGATCCTGTATAAGGCTTCCAAGGAGCGGCAGGTGAGCTTGAACTGCCGACCTTGCGGTTTAAACCGACCTTGCAGTCCAGTACATTAACTCACAGTACCACACCAGGACTATGCTACCAGGGCTCCTTAAATTGGTGAACAAGAAAGAGTGATAAAATAAGTATAAAAGTTTGCCTGGTTATTTTTAATACTGCAACAAAGTAAACCTTTGGAAACCAAAAGATGCGATCAAGATAAAATGAGAAATTGACAGGGATGCGCCTAGCAATAGAAATGAAATGTAATGACCACAAAGGTGAGGCATAGTGACAACCCGGTGTAACTCTTCCAGAGCAGGTCAGGAAACAGAACCTGGATAAAAAGACAAAAAAAAAAAGTATACACCGTTATTTACTAACATGCTCTGCTGTCCACGACAAACCCGTGTTTACTTTGCTTACTAGGTTCTCAATCCCTGTCAAGAATTGTCAATTTGAAGAGCCTTTGATTCTGTAGGAAGGTCGAGAGAAGCAGAATCTTTGATATTGTGAAACACAATACAGATTAGTAAATAAACGCAAGTACACCATAATACATTGTTATTGTTCAATATAGATTAGCCAATAAGCATAAATAAACGAGTGTTTACATTGCTTATAGAGTAATCCCACAGTGCAGTTATGAGTTTTTTTCTTACAATGAATTGTTTTTGTTTCTCCATTAAGAACTCATCTCAAAAGAGATTTTCACATTTGTAATTCAGTTATTTATGAAACACACACACACAGAAGATCAAGGGTGCAGAAAGCAGCGACTCCGCATAGGGACGATCTTGCTAGGTTGCTGCCATGTCTAGGCAACCTGCTTGATGTGGCAGAGTCGGAGGGAACAGATACTCGATTCCGGCGTCAGTTTAGCAGAACATACTTTTTTTTTTTTTTTTAAAGGATTCATAGATTTTAAACAATTTTTATTGTTAAGCTGCAACATACAGGGTTTAATACAACCCCCCCCCCAAAAAAAACAAACAAACAAACAAACATTTACTCAAATGAAAAGTAATCAACTGAACATTAAGCACTCAAAACAAAATCTTTTCCACTGGAAACATGTTAAGATGAATACGGAGTTTTACCATTTTACTGCAATTTTCTTAATGTGTTACTAGCCTACATACCCCATGTTTTCTGTAATCATACAGGTGTGAATGAGAGTTCGAATGACCATTTCACAAGGCAGCCAAACTGGGTCTAGAGAACAAAATTACTCAAGAAATTCTCCATATATTTAGGTTCATTTTAGAATCCATTAACCTTAAGTTGCTCCTCCTTGACAATGCCAACCTTCAAGAGAAACTGGCAAATACTTTTTTTTTGGTCACCTTGAAGCTGAATAACCTCGCGTATTCAGTATGTTCAATCACGATACCATTTTAGGCAAATTTCCATTTGAAAGCTTTCACAAGTTTCTTTTTGTCATAATCATCCGCAATGCCCTGAACCATACTCAGTGTCTTTCTGCCGTTCCGTTGCTGGATTCTTAATATGAAAGTAATCCTCCGTTCTTGCCAGGAGTAAGTCTTCACCCTTAGTTGCATCAGCAAAGGGGTCGAGGTTAAGGATAGCGGACGTGCGATACTAGTGCGAGGCCGGTGGCGGGGATAAAATTCCTGCGGGGCCTGCCCGGATCACAGTGTCAGGAGGCTGTAGTGGCAAGAAAAAAGCAGAAATAGGGAAAAGCTTGGCCCCGAGGTTGGGATTCCACTGGAGCGTCTGAGGCAGCGGAAGCCGGGAGGAGGCAGGTAGAGGTTATGGAGGAGGTTGCGGCGACGGCTGAGAGGACTCGAGAGAAGACGCGGCGCTGCGGTGTCTAGCAGAACAAACTCTCGAAGGTTTGGTCTCGAGCCCGGGATTGCCTGGAGCCGCTTCTCAGGCCGCAGGAGCCCCGCCCACCGCCTGGCCCCACCCCCCGGCCGCTACGAACACCAGCGCCCTCTAAAGCTCCCAGTGATGCTGCGCGCGCCCCATATGTGACTAACTTTTCTGGCGCTTCTGATTGGCCAGCTTCTCTTCTACAGACCCGGTCTTCCAGAGGGGGTCTTTTCACGTGACAGGTCACGTCTTCCCTTCACCTAGACTTAAAAAAAACTTGAAAACCCTCCTATGCGCTTCAGGTTCTGAGACCTGAGAAACCTCAGATAACCTCTGCAGACGCTGCTCTCATTTCCCAGCTCTGGGAACCGGACCGGTACTGTCAGAATGTCCAGGAGATGGAAACCGAGTTCGCCACTTAGCAACGGAGAGAGTGAGGTGAGTTAAGAAACCAAAGCAGGAGAAGGAGCCTCGAGGCCGGGAGGTGTTGTATTAACTTTGTCATAGTTTCCTTAATTGAACAGAAAACTCTTC